CATATGCTAGTATTAATTTGGCTTAAGTTGTAATGGTCTCGTTTGGGAACATACTTTTTGAATAATTTTTTAATTTTTTAATTAAAATATAATGTAAAAAAGTTAAATGCGGTCCTTTGCGAGGTTATGTTGAAGGTCCTTTGGCCCTTAATGAGTCCTCAGTGCAGGTGTGTGACTGTTGGGTGGCTAATAATTGGGACTTTTCCCGTATCTTCTTCATCCTTCCCTCCGAAATTCTTGCTTATATTAGAAGCACCTCTCCATCCTAGTTTAACTCTGGTAATGATATCCAGGTATGGAAGCATTCAACTGATGGAATTTTTCGTAGTAATTTTGCTTACCTCCTAGCTAAGGATTTTCATAGCTCCCCTCCCATTCCCGACTGGAGTTGGGTGTGGGCTATTCGTGCTAACCCTCGTATCCTCCATTTTGTTTGGCGTGTTCTCCATAAAAAGCTTAACACTATGACCTAGTTGTTCTATAGGCAAATTGTCGCAAATAACCTCTGTCCAGTCTGTAAATGCTTTCCCGAAACCATCAATCACGTTTTTAGAAGTGTCCCTCTGCCTCTTACTGTTGGTCTTCTATCGGCATCCCCTCGGAAGTCATCCCCTCCTTCTCCTTTGACCTTCATTCTTGGTTCAAGCTAAACTGTCAATCTCGTATTACCCACTCTTTTACTGTCAGTTGGGCCATCTTATTTCCTTTTGTCTGTTGGGCCATTTGGCTACACCGAAATTCTTTTTGCTTCCAAACCAATCAAACCCCTTTTAGGGCTCCAGTAGTACTTGCTAATGCTTTAGAGTGACAACACTTTACAAATTCAGGCCGAACCATTAGAACCTCTTTTAATCTCTCTATAGGTTGGAAACCCCCCTCCCATGGGACCTTTAAACTTAACATTGATGGTGCAGCTAAGAGTCCTCTTGGTTTAACCATTGGTGGTGGAGTTATTCATCCTACATGTTTAGCTACTGGAGGTGGTGTTATTCGTGACTGGATGGGCTGTTGGGTTGCTGGTTTTGCTCGTAACATAGGTGTAGCCTCGACTATGGAGGCAGGACTTTAGGCCCTGAGAGATGGCTTAAAGCTGGCTGTGGACTTGGGTTTATCTAGAATTTGTGTTAAGTCAGATGCCAAAGCAGTAATCAACCTTGTGTTGGAAGAACCTCATTCAGGTCATCACTTCGGTAACCTCATTTATGATTGCAGGTACCTCATGACGGAGCTGGGGATCGTGATGGTTGATCATATTTATCGAGAAGCCAACAAGTGTGCGGACATTTTAGCAAATCAAGGCAGTGTTGCCATTGATAATTTTGTTGTTTTTAATTCCACTCCTTCTTGTCTGTCTAAACAGTTACTTGAGGATGGTGTAGGGGCTTCATACCCCAGGACTGTTTCTTAATTTATGATATCTCTATTTCACCAAAAAAAAAAATAAATTATATTTTAATAATTTTTAAAAATTAATATATTATTAAATAGAATAAATCATTAGATATATAATAGAATTATATGGTATTATATGTATTATTTTTTAATTTGTTATACATCCAATGATGTCTATTCTAATTCTATTACTATATAATTTTGAGTGAATTTATGAGTTTTTAACTTTTATTCTGAATTTATAAAATAAATAAATAAATAAATAAATTATGATGTATAACTTTTTTTCAATAGATAAATATAAAACAAATACTAAGATAATTCTTCCATCTAAAAAACACTACTAGGATAAGTCACTAAACTAATAAAGAAGTAAAATATATATATATATATACAAATGACTAATTTTATTAATACATAAATCATACTCACATAACAAATGATTAATTTTATTAATAAGTAAATCATTAAGAAAATGAACAACTTTTAATGATATGAAAAATATTTTTCATATAACTATTTTGTTAATAAATAAATCAATTAATAATTTTTAATTATATGAGAAATATTTGTCAATAAACAATTTTGATAATTTATTATTACATAGTTTTTTTTCCCTTGAATATTGTGTTCAATTAAAATTTATAACAACCGATAGTTATAATTTCTAATATTATAAAACTGATACATATTTTAAACAAACTTTATGGGTGTATTTGTAATTTGCTTAAAAATAAAAGATTTATGTTTTATAATTGATCAAGAATATTTCCGTAATTATAAAAAAACCTATTCATAATTGACCAAGAATGTTAGTGTAATTACAAAAAAAAACATGTTGTATAATTAACAAAAAATATTTGCGTAATTACGAAAAAACTCTCACTCAACATATAGGTCACTATTAATAAATTATGCAAAATACAAAGGCAAAATAAGAAAAGAAATGACAATATATATATATATATATAGAGAGAGAGAGAGAGAGAGAGAGAGAGAGAGAGAGAGAGAGATAGAGAGAGAGAATTGGACAAATATTTTAACAGAATAGTAAATTGATATTCCCATGGAGTACTGAAACAAATAAAAAAAAAAAAATCACAACAGAAGTAGAAAATTACAACACAAGCACATGCATCTCACAATGGAGCTAGTTACTATCACAATTGGGCTGTTTTAGGCATCTTCCTCAAAAAGCTAATTATTTAAAAGCTAAAAAGGATATGTTTTTTATTTTGATTTTTTGATTATTAGCTTTTAACTTAAAATAAATTACACCAAACATGCCCAACATATTATATAACTTCTCAGCTTATGGTAAATATTATTAGCAAAAAAAATCACAACAGAAGTAGAAAATTACAACACAAGCACATGCATCTCACAATGGAGCTAGTTACTAACACAACTGGGCTGTTTTAGGCATCTTCCTCAAAAAGCTAATTATTTAAAAGCTAAAAAGGATATGTTTTTTATTTTGATTTTTTGATTATTAGCTTTTAACTTAAAATAAATTACACCAAACATGCCCAACATATTATATAACTTCTCAGCTTATGGTAAATATTATTAGCTAGCCAAGATTTCAACACTATATTTTATGTAAAATAATGTGTGCGCCATTTTGAGGTTGAAGGGTAACACGGAAGGAAGGTGTGTGAATATAGGATGGAGAAAGCTCAAATGAGAAGTGTTGAAGAATCATTACTAAAGCCATTTTTGCTTCCAACATCGCAAAATTGTTCCCAATGCAAATTCGAGGACCCCAACCGAATGGCAGAAAGGATGCTTGTTTGTTCGTTGCCTTAGCAACTCCTTCAGAAAATCTCTCTGGGTTGAACTCTTCTGAATCTTCTCCCCAAAGGTCACGATCATGATGGACGAAGAGTATAGGTACCATGATGTTTGTTCCACAAGGTATCACCATGTCTCCCAACATTGTCTCTTTATGATTAACACGGTACATCATTATTGCTGGTGGATATAACCTAAGAATCTCGTTCAATATCATTGTTACCTGTAGATAACCGATTTTAGAAATTATAATCATATTAAAATTTAGGTGGGTGATAGTGCTACTAGGAATGTCATTGAAAAAGTGTTTTTTTTTCTTATAAAAAAAAAGAAGCAAAATCATTGATGTATATATGAATATGTATGTACAAATAAACCCTACTATTCTCTCTCAATTTCTTCATTTTATGCTTCATTTGTCAGGGAAGTGAATTAATTTCCTCGTCTTATTGCTGAAGAAGGAACAAGAAAGGTAAGGTGAAAAGGTACAAGGTGGATAACTAATTGTACCTTCTCTAAAGGTGTTGATGTTAATTCTTTGAAGACAGTTTATATGCAGTGATTTCAAAATTTTAATATTGATTATTTACTTAACAAAACTAACTAATTTAAAAAGATAGATATAAATCCATCTCATGCCTACTCCAGAAATAACAAAAACGTATAACGCTTATATATACTTACTATCTTAAGGTGGTTTATCCCATTGTACTCTGGTTTATTGTTCCCAAACACTTGTTGAACCTCTTCTCTTGCACGCGTTTGCCAGTTTGGATGTAAACTTAACATAATCATTGCCCAAACAAGCAACTGTGCAGTAGTCTCTTGGCCCACAAAGTACATTAGCTTGCACTCCTTAATCACATCATCAATACTCATTCCTGCATTCTTGTTTGCATGCTCGTTGATTTCTCTCAAGTTGGCTTTCAATAGTACACTCAACAAGTCCTCATCACCAGCTCCTCCCAACTTCATGGCTTTCTCCCTTTCATCGATGACTCCCCTCACAAGAATTTGCACTTCATTGTTGATTGCTTTGATTCTCTTGTTTATCTTTGTTGGTAGAAACCTACAAATGAAAATTTATAGCATCGAAAAGGCATTGATAATAACAACATCAATATGTTATGAAAGAAACAGTACTTTGATTGGTAAGAAAACAACCGAAATAATGTTTAGATTCTACTGTTTTTTGTTTACAAAAACATTAAACATGTTTATGTTTATTTTGCTAAAAACAAAAATAAAAAACATGTGTGCTTAACACACATGGTTTCAAAAACTTAATTTAAAAACAAAGGGGTGGCTAGAGGGGTCGGAGGTTGTGACTAGAGGTGGGGCGCTAGCTGTGGTGATAAGCGGTAGGTGGCTGGAGAAGGTGGGAAAGGGAGGAAGGAATGAAAACTAGTTCAAAAACAGATGAAATTAGCTTTTTCTTATATTGCTAGAATTTAGTAAAAATTTTACATTATTAAAAAACAAAAAAACAAACAAGTTTTCCGGGCGTAAATAAGGGAAACGAAATATGCTATATTCATCTCAAGGTGGCATTAACCAGAACTTTTAAGTATAACAATTTACAATAATCTCCTATCTATGAGTGCTATTTTAGGGGCAATTTTTTTTATTAGTAGTGAATAGAGATACTCAACATCTGAATACTAGTTGCAACTATTCTCAAGTAGTGATATTCTAGCATTTGAACAAGGAAACAAGTTATTCAACATCAATCAAGAACCATTCAGTGTAATGAAAATATAAATTATTTCAATTATCACATATTTCAGATATACCTCCGTCCTGGAAAGCTCATTGACTGTGAAAGTCGAAACACAAGACTGGCTAGTTGCATTTGGAGTTCAAATATCCTTCTGCCTTCTTCATAGCTACTCCCAAATGCTGTTCGAGCAATCACATTGGCAGCTAAATTTTGGAGATGAGGTGACACATCCAACTCACATGAACCCCCTTTTTCTGAGACCAACTCCTCCCATTTGCTCATCATCTCTGTACAACACGCATGCATCGCTGGTAGCATGTGCTGTATAAAACACAGGGAAAATAATGCCAAGAAACTGTCAAGAACATAGCCCGACAAGATCAAACGACATATAGTTAAAATGCATCAGAAATTTGCTATGACGCTTGTGTGCGGATGCTGTATTGGTACTAGTACATCAATATAGTAAAAAAAAAAATTTAAAATAAGGAAACTGGGCACGTTTATAAAAAAATATATATATTTATTTTTAATTTGAAATATTATATAGATTATTTAAATAAGCCTTCGTTTGAAATAAAAGGTTTTTGGACTTTTTAGCTAAAATAATCATAAAAAGATAAAATAAATTTTTTAACCCAATAAAATAAAATGTCACATTGAAACTATAATCATTTCATTTTTTCTTTTACAAAAGTCAAAAAAGCCAAAAAAAACTATCCCAAACGAGAATTTTTAGCTCCAGGCTAAAAATAGTCAAAAAGTCAAAAAACTAAAAACCAACTCACATCCCAAACGAAGCCTAAATTTGTTCGTTAAGATCCAACCTACAATTCATATTTTTAATGCCAAAAATATGATAAAAATTAAAATTAAATAACTTACAAACTAAGCATACCCTTGTGCGATAGTTTTATGCTGTCTAACCACCATAATGTAGGTTGCTAGTTCACGTCCCTTGGGGGGCATGGGGGGATGGTTCTGTTTCCTTTCCCCTAAGATCTAGGTTAGAGTAGGTATTAACGAGTAATTAAAATTAAAAATAAAAAGTTGATTTTAAAATTATATTAAGCATTAAAAAAAAATAGCCAACACTACAAGAAAATACATTTTTGGCGACCATTTTTGGCTACCAAAAAAAATTTGGTCGCCAAAAGTTACGGAATTGGCTACCAAAAATAACATTAGTCGGCAAAAGTCCACTTTTTAGCTACTAATTTTTTTTAGTAGGGGGAATGTTGATTATTGGCAACTAAAAAATTTTTAGTAGCTAAACATATCACAATTGGCGGTCGCCAAAAGTTACGGAATTGGCTACCAAAAATAACATTAGTCGGCAAAAGTCAACTTTTTAGCTACTAATTTTTTTTAGTAGGGGAATGTTGATTATTGGCGACTAAAAAAAATTTAATAGCTAAAAATATTACAATTGGCGACTAAAAAAATTTTTAGTAGCTAAACATATCACAATTGGCGACTAAAATAAATTTTAGTAGCCATAGAGTTACTTTTAGCTACTAAATTGTTTAGTAGCCGAATGAATTTTAAAAATTTATTTTTTATCTTTGGCGACCAAAATTTTGGTCGCTAATAGTTTATTTTCAACGACGATTGGAAAGTTTAGTCGCCAATAGTTTATTTTCAGCGACGAAAAACAATTTTAGTCGTCGTATGTAGAGATTTGGCTACCAAAAGATTTAGTCGCCGATTGTAAAATAAAAAATTATTTTTTATCTTTGGCAACTAAATTTTAGTTGCCAATAGTTTATTTTTAGCGACAAAAAACAATTTCAGTCGCCGTAGGTAGAGATTTGGCTACCAAAAGCTTTAGTCACCGATGGAAAACAAATTGGATGGCTAAGATCAGTTGAACAAATAAATTGGATGGCTAAATATTTGGAGGGATTTTTGAAATTTTGGAGGGTTTTACAAATTAATTGGATGGCTAAGATCAGTTGAACAACCAACGGGTGAGATCAATACCTCTCCAATGAAATATTAAGGTCATCTCTTCGTTTCAGAAGATGAAGGGTTGAGGAGTCCAGCTGCGTCGCCGTCCCGCCGCCGCTCCTCCTTGCGTTCGCCGGCAACCGGAGCACCTCCTTCTCCTCCTCTTCCGCCATCGCCATCGTGACTGCTGCGACCACCACTGCCTCCGCTACCACCTCCGTCGATGCCCTCTTTTCACGCCGCCGCCTCCTCCTCCTCCTCCGATCTTCACAGATCCACCGCCACCGCCGCGAGATCCAAAGGCTTCATCGCTGAGAATAACTCTGCTCCATTGATGCTCCATCTCGCGTATGCTCTCTCTCTCTCTCTCTCTCTCTCTCTATATATATGTATATATATATATATATATAAGTATATATATCTATATGTATATACCATTCGGTGTTACCAGTGGTCACTGTTTGCATTTATGGCTCTTTGTAGATGGGCTTTGAAATTGTCTTCATCGCTGAGTAGCAGTGTTCTTATCTTTCCCATACTTTGAAACTGGTACAGCGTGGTATAAGTTGCAATTTGCATGTGAGAATTTGAACCAAAAATCTCAGGTTTATGTATGTATTAATTATTATTATTATTTTAAATTGGAGTTTTTTGGGAACTTTGAATTTTGAAAAAGAGTAGTAAACCTTACCAATTTTTAACACTTGAACCGTGATATGAAATTAGTCGATAAAGCATAAATCAAATTTCTAAAATAATCAAACAGGCTATAAATGCACACTATGTGACTCTCCCAAGGCAAGCTCTTGAAGCAAAAAATCCAAAATTTCAGTTTTTTTATGTTCTTTAGAAAAGGGTCTCTTAAAAAGTGAGGCTCAGCAATGTCTACATATTCTGTAAATAAACTTGCTTCAATAAGATCTTTATGTTAGTTTACATGCAATTCTATGACTAGTTCGCTCTGTTTTGCTCCCCTTATCCCCATGTTTCAGGTGTTTATGACTCCTGGAGGAAAAGGATGGGGTCTTCGTACCCTAGAGGACCTCCCAAAAGGTGCATTTGTATGTGAATATGTTGGGAAAATATTAACCAATGCAGAGCTGTTTGAGCGAGTTTCAAAATGCCCCAGCAGTGAAGAGCATGCATATCCTGTGCTACTTGATGCTGATTGGGGTTCAGAAAGAGTCTTAAAAGATGAAGAGGCTCTTTGTTTAGATGCAACACATTATGGAAATGTTGCAAGGTTTATTAATCATAGGTAAGTTCAACAAAACACAGAAGCGCATATGCCCTTGTGGCTTCCTCTTAATTATTAATGTGTTCTGATCCTTGTTGGTTGTTCCTCAGTCATTAACATTTGGTTTTACTCTGAAATTATCATAACTGATGTGTATATGTATATGATGGTAAGTTTTCGTTTTCATCCATTAAGTTTTCATCCATTTTTATTTTCATCTACTCTTTTTTTCCCCCTCATTTGGTTGTGTTTGTTTCTTGAGAAATGTGTGATGGTGTTCGGTGTTTTGCAGATACAAGAAGTGATCCAAGGTACCAAGGACGCACTTTCTCTAGCTCAGGATTGTTTACTCTCTCCAATGTTTGTCAAAATTTACTTACTAATTTTAGTTTTAGATATGTGGGAAATTAAGAGATGTGAAAAGTTTTTATTTTGTCCCTTTTAGGTCTCAAATTTGTAATTCACCAATTCATCTTCCACGAGAACATGTTCGGATTGCTGAAATCATGGCCTCAAAAATCTCAATTTTTTGATGATCATTAATAACCAATTACATGTTCCTGATTAAAATCTAATTGAACTCCAACTTAATTAACTTATTTATTTATTTATTTGTTTATAGCCTTATTGCTTCTACCTAAAGTTTATTACCGGCAAATTGATTTGGGGAACATAAAGATTGTGTTGAGATATGAGTTTACAATGAGTTGTGAACATGTGTTATTGTTTTAACTTCAAATGAGGTACTTTGTAAAGGTGGTTGGGAAATGGGAGTGGTGAGTTATATCATAGACCTTGTTTGTGGGCTTGAAAGTATAATTTCAGTGTTCGTATAATACTAACTTATATTAAAAGCCTGCCGTGTGCATGTCTTAATTTATCCAGAACAGGTTGTATTTTTGTTCCTGTTGCTTTCTAAACTCCTCAATATGTTGAACAAGCACAATTAGGAACAGGTTGACTATTAACTATATATATTTTGCTTAATACATTAGTGTAGGTATTAGGTATATGTGGTGGTCGGTTGTGGACATCTGGGAAGATAGCAAACACTTCAATGGCTAAGGATTGCTGGAGGTGGTGGAGGAGAAGACCAAGGATTGCTATGTAATTTCTGTGTTATCTTCTTGGTATGTTCTTCTTATTGACTGGGTGCATGGGCTAGTCCTTGCTTCAACAGAGCGAATGTATTAGGTCTATCGCTACATCTCATGATTTGGAAGCACCTTAAGCTACCATTACATCTTGTTTGCCCTGGGGTTATCTTGTGGACTGCCCAAGTTTATGTACAACTTGAATATTTTACTTCTATACTCAGTAAGTAGTCCCTTTTTATTGATTTTTATCTCACTCATTACAAAGTCTTGCATATAGTTGAAGGGAAGATTGAAATTGATTGATTGGTTTAACATGATTGTCAAAAGTATAGACATATCCTACTTTTATCAAACTCTCTCTTATACATTTAACCATAGCATTTCTTGCAATATAAATTTTATAAACTAATAACAGGCTAGACAGTAGCCCTGGAAAAGACTCCTAGCTTTACTTAAAATTTTGGAAAATTCTAACCAAAGTAGAAACTCCTAAAAATTAAAATTTCTAACAAACATGACTTTCTATGCAAGAGCTCCTTTATTGGCTAATGATGGGCTTTAAGTGGGCTATTTTTGGAATCCTTGTCTTTCTATTCGTCTATCCTTTATTAACAGTTTGTGCCTGTTCTCAGTGGACAGAAGGAATGAGAGGAGAGAAACATGAAGGGGCATATATAATCAGTTAAAAAACTCATTTAGGTCAAGGGCTCAAGGAACTGAAATGCATCTTTATGTAAGATGCACCTGTGTTTTATGAACTGTCTGACAGATTTGTGTAAAATGCATGTGTTCTAGGAACTTTCTGACAGATTTTCATTTATTTATTTATTATATTACCCTATTTAGGGTTGTTATGTCCATTTTTCTAATGTCAAGAAAAAATGTAATGGGTTTTAAATAATTTATGGTTGGTGGCTTTTAGATATTGTAACCACATCTTTATATAAAAACTATTATATATATAACGTGGTAATATAAATTTATTTAATTCTTTTGCATGGATAAGATTGTTCAACATTATTACTTTTTTTTTTTAATATGTGCCAATTCTCTCTCTCACTCCTTCCTGTTTCTTTTCCTTTCTTTTCTTTTTTTTCTTTTTTTAATTTTTATGAATCTCAATAGGAAAATATATGTGTGTGTGAGGGAACTGACCTTGGTTGCTCTTCACTTTTGTTTTGTGTTTTTGATAAGATATATAAGGAGTCAACAGGTACTGCTCCTGTAAATGATGCGATTTTTGGAGATCTAGTGCAGAAGGCAGAAGCAATGGCATTTGGTCGAGCTTTTGAGGGTATCTTCTTTTAGGAAAAGTAATTCCCAAAAAAGGAAATGCTAACCACCCCATCTAATGGGGTATATGTGTAAAAAGTAGATTCGAATATGTAGAAAGTGTATAGAAATATATGAATTGTGTATTGAAATTCTAACCCTTTTGACATTATATGGCCTTTAACAAAATGCCCAATGGAATCTATCTTTCATGCCATTTCCACCTTTCCTTCTGCTGGGAACAGAGCGCAATTCTCAAAATGAGCACAATTCTTTCTTTTGGTTTTGTAGTTAACTGTTAACAAATGTGTGCTAGTAATGGCTGTGTAACATGCCTTGTATTACTTAGACACGTTGCTATTTAAGTGGATGGTCCAATTTTTGTCACTTTAATGTACATGTATTTTCTAAATGGTCCCTTTGGCCATTATATTGGATTTTACTTTAATTTTTGAATTATAACTTAGAAATTGTGCTTAATGTGTAATTTTTTTTCTTCTTGCAAATGTGAGATTTGAGCTCCCAATTTGCATAGCTATATCTACCTGAGATTGAATGAAACTTGTAGATTTGAATGTTCAAGGAACTTGTTTGATCTCTCACATTGTACGTTAGAAAAACAAATGAAAGTTGTTTACAAACAGATGAAAGTTGTAATATAATTGAATACATGTTGTTTACAAATTTTTTTTTTTTAAAAAAAAAACATAAAATTATTTGGCCACCAAATGTTTTGGTAGCCAAATAGGTAATCAAAAATTTTGGCTACTAATAATTTAGTAGCAAAAACATAACCCAAAACGTTTTTGCCACCAAAAAATTAGTAGCTAAAAAATCTGAGAATGAGAGAAATAAGCTATTGGCCACTAAATTTTTTAGTCACGGAAAAAAGGGTATCATTTGGCGACTAAAACTTTTGGTGGCAAAAAGTTAAAAAATGAATCTTAATAGGTTTTTGGCTACGAAAAGTTTTAGTCGGCAAAAGTCACCACGCCTAAGGTAAAACTTTTAGTGACTAAAAATTTAGTCGCGGAAAGGTCACGTTTGCCGACTAACGAAGGATTAGTAGCTAAATGTTCACTTTCGGTAACCAACGGTTTTAGTAGCGAAAAGATACCATTTGGCTACTAAAAGAAATTTAGTAAGGAAAAGTTTTATTTTTGGCGACCAAATGAAGTTTAGTCGCCAATACTATCGCCGACAGGGTATAGGCGACTAGTTTGGCGACAAAATATTTTAGTCGCTAATTGTTTCGGCGACCAAAAATGGGGCTTTTGGCGACCAATATTTTGGTCGCCAAAAGTGGCATTTCCTGTAGTGTAAGCAGGAGGTTAGCTATCGATTTTCTGGTTGCTTCTTGTCTTCATGTGACCCATCCTAATTAATCATATTGCAACACTTGACACGGAATGAATGGCATGTTGCAGTGGGGATTAAGGCTTGTGATCTACCAAGGAAGGGATTGGGGGATGTGGTGATTGCACTCATGCTATTTTCTGGCTATGTATTAGTTTGCTGTTGTGGTGGCTATCGATTTTTGCTACAACTCCCAAAACCGTTGATT